TATCATTATGAACAAATATTGCACTGATTATACATGTACAAATATATACATGGCATGTATATTAAATCATATATTCCACACATAAAAAAGGTTGTAGTATTATGTGTGTTTTCGTTTTTGTGCTTGCTGTTTTATTTGTATTTTCTTTTTAAAATAAGACATCTAACTTTTTCTATCTTTATTTGTAGCAAGTCAGAATATGTACTGTGACCCTTCACCATGAAAACCCGCCCCCGTGCCTCACGACTTATGGCAATCCCTGAGTGATGCTAAAAATAACAATCCAGGGCAAAACCTCGGCAATAAGGTGATTAATAATATTTTTTATACGAGAGTAACATGCGTTCCCAACTATAACAACAGTGAACTTGAATAGAGCTGCAAAATAATGCCCTACAGTCCACGAGCTTGAGACCCCTGCTCTAAGTAAGTTAGTCGTAAAAAACACAGTAAACGAATTCTAATCGGAGTCTGTAGTGCAATGGTTAGACACTTCGCTGCTTTGTTTTAGTAAGGTTTTACGGCGCTTGCAACTGCATAAGGCCACAAGAATGCCAATGTGTGGATGTCAAAAGAGAAGTCCAAACGGGGAATCAGGCTTACTGTGCTCACCTCGCTGGCCTCAAGAGCACAAAGTTTGCTTCGACTATCAAGACATCCCAGAAATAGCAGTTCACAAGAGAGTGACAAACATGCAAACGAAATAGAGGTTAATGACGATAGTAAGGATGAGGAAAGAAAAAGCAGCAGCTCCCCCTATGTTGTTCCGGCACAGTATGAGTACGATATTGATAAATCAACCCATTTACAATTTTACTGTGCATAAGAACATGTTAATATCCCCCCCCCCCACTTTGGGAATGGCCTAAAAACGACATCAGCCAGTAGCACAGCCCTGGCGGGGGGAAACTTCGCTGCCGCTCGCAGGACACCCAAGTTTGATTTTTGAGTGGGAAGCAAATTTTTATCGAGTATCTCGGTCTTTCTGTGGGGATTTTGCATCCCTCACAGCCTGGGTTCACCCTGACACCTTACAGGTAAGGTCGGGAGCCCGCCTTCTAAATGATCTAGATTATGTCGATGGGGGCGTAAAAAACACCTATGTATACCCCCTCCCTATCCGAAATAAAAAAAAGAAAGGAAGACAGAAAGACAGACACAGAAAGAAAGAAAAACAGAAAGAACGCAAGAAAGAAAGAAAAAAGAAATGAAATATAATGAAATAATAGAACACAATAAAATAGAATTAAGTAAAATAAACTAACATAAAATAACATAAATAACATAAAATAACATATAAAATGAAATATAATTAGAAAAAACTAATGGAATGAAAGTAAATTAAAAAAACAAAAAAACTTCTGCGTACAGTTTCAGCCACTGACGACCAAACCGTACAGGTCTTGGAATACTTCAACAACGTGCATGTTGGGAACATTACAGTTGCCAGGGCAACGTGTCTGCTCAGAGGCGGCCACCTGGCGGAGAGTGTTACTCTGGATGACTGGGACAACCCTCTGGTCACTGAGGATTTGAAGTAAGGTTTTAGTTTTAGTAGATGCGTAACCAGTATAATATATATCTTACTTGCTACTACGGTAAATAAATAGGAAGCTTTACATCGATAGAGTGATAATTAGGAGAATAACCTTATACACACAAGAAAAGAACATTTCCTATGAACAAAAAACAAAACAAGCTCAAGCACTTAAGAGGGGGGTTTGGGGGGGGGGGGGGGCTGCAGCTGAAGGCTATCTCGCTTATTAGTCGATCGAATGTTACCAAATTTCACACATATAACAAGCATAGTATTAACGTAAGGAGTCTTAAATCCCTAATCAAATTTGAGAAAAAAGTTTCGTTTCCACAGATACGGCGGCCATATTGGGTTTTGTTGACATGTCTCACGTAATTAATACCGCACTTATATTTCACGGAAACAATTTTTTTGGCATCCTTCTTGGCAAAAAATAGATCTACAAATTTTTGTGATAAATTTTTCTTTTACGTACTAGAAAATTTTTTATGAATTCTTTCCTAAGGTAGTATTCACGTTTGCAAAAAATCCGTGAAAATCCATATATATATACATATATTTCAAAAATTCATCAAAGGAATATTTTCTTCATTCTGTAAAACTTTCATGGAGATTGGATGAAAACTGGTGGAGTTATTTTAAAAAAAAAATATACAGAAAAGCCGCGTTAAGAGGAAACGGGTGATGAAGAAAAATAAGAGATTGACTTTATGAGGAAATTGTGGTGACAAACATGCCCGGCATGGGAAGAAATAAGGCTTTAGAGCTTCTTATGCGATGAAATAGTTGTATTAGAGGCTGAAGAAGCTAAAAATGCCTACAAACTTAAAATCCATAGTTTTGACCCCCCCTCCCCCCCGTCCAAATGATGAATGTTCTCAGCCATACATCAATTATACATTTAGTTATAAGGACAGCCGTAAAAACAAGACCGATACATCAGCACCTGCTAACACACTCCGATTCAGACTTAATAGATAAATAAGTACACGTACGTTGTTAGTTTTGTGGCGCCTGTAAAATGGCATCTTTCACTGTATGCTTCCCAGAAAGTTTATAATGCTTTAGAGGGCATAGAAAGCAATCAGGACAGCTGGGATAATAAGACTGTAAAGCGCATAGAGTTTATAATAATTATTGTATATATATTACAATTACTATTATTATTTCTATTATTATTATCATTATTATCATTATTATCATTATTATCATTATTATCATTATCATTCTTTTTCTTCTTCTTCTTCTTCTTCTCCTTCTTCTCCTTCTTCTTCTTCTTCTTCTTCTTCTTCTTCTTCTTCTTCTTCTTCTTCTTCTTCCAGAATATACCTATGACTTTGTGGTGTCTCCCAGCAAAGACGACCTGATGAACACATACTACTCAGTGTCGGTGTCCCGCTCTTACGACGGTCAGTGGAGGTTCTCCGACGGCGCCCTGGTGGACATGACCTCAAGCGCGACCTTGACCTTGCGTGAGTACAACGCCAGCGGCACGGCCACGGAGGAGTACGACTGTGCCCTGTGGAACCCCTGGGAGCCCTTCTACATCCCCACACGCTGTGAGGACAACAACCCCTTCATCTGCAGGATGCCCGTCCCAGAGTGTAAGATAATGATAGAAAAAATAATAAATTTAATGTAACATGTAGAATGAATGGTAAATTAAATAGTGATACGATAAACAATAAATAAATAAAATTAATGATGAATAATATGAATAATGAATAAAATGAATAATGAATAAAATAAAATATTGAATAGAACAATAATACATGAATTATAAAATAAATGAAATAAATAGAATAACATTAATAATGGAGAAAATAAATTTTAGTACACGTAATAAACTTTTAAAAATAATCACTGAAACTGGATTATTAAAAAAAAGATGGACGATTAATAAAAACATATCAACAAAATAATTAATAATACAAATAATGATAATAATGCGTACGATAAATAATGAATTTTTAAAAAAATCTGATAATAAATAAGACAAATTCTAATGATAAATAAAATAACTTTCACATTTACAAACCACAGGGGTGAATTTTGTTGCAATGGCAAATGTTGGCAGCGAACAATGACTTTAAAGTGATTTTTGTTCAAAGTTTTAGGTTTAGCAAGAATTTTGCTGCGTCTGCCGCCCAGTTAAGCCATAAAGTCACATAACTGACTTATAAGTGCCAAAAGTTAGAGGTATTACTAAAGGGTAACATAATACACAGAAGGAGAAGGAAGAGAGATATGGACCATAGATCTATTAAAAATACATGAATTATACACACAAATATACATATATTCACAAAGGATACCAAGTACACAGTATTACACAAATTTTATAAAGAACAATTTCACAAATAATATAAAGCCATTGCTGGTCGCCACTTATTTAGCTGTTTTTATTTTGGTTGTTGTTGTGTTGTTTTTTTCCAAGTCAAAACTAGATATCTATTGTGTATTGCTCAAGGACACACACTAGTTAACATCCATATATAGATATATTTTAAAAAAAATAATAAATTTTTTTTTTTTTAAATAAAAAAAAATATATATACAGAGAGAGAGAGAGAGAGAGAGAGGGAGAGAGAGAGAGAGAGAGAGAGAGAGAGAGAGAGAGAGAGAGAGAGAGAGAGAGAGAGGGGGGGGAGAGGCGCAGGAGACAAAGCCAATTTATCTTTGAGACGCAATCATCTGTTCGAAACACGATGTGCCTCTGGGAAAACTTGATCTTTCTCACTCAACTGCTACAATTTTGCTAATCTAAAGAATATTCACCCCCCCCCCCCCCCCTATAAATAAATGGGTAAATCTATTAATTAATATTAAAATAATAAATTAAAAACACTCAGTCACCCTATAAGCCACCTAACGATGCTGATAATAGTGTCTGCATACAAACGAGATCAGATTATTTACGTTAACTTTGAAGGAACCAAAATGGGAATAGGATTAGATTCCAGCTTGAAATGTTGGTTGTTCCGTGTGTCTCGAATCAGGTTGCCATTCTGCAAACGTACTCCCATATAAAGCACGAAAGACCGAGATACTTAATAAAAACTTCTCCCCGTAAAAAAAATACCCACGCATCTTGAAATGAAATTGAGATATATTTGCTATTGAATGATGTGCCAGTCACATTTTGTCAAATGTAAAATTAGCGAGGAAATTGCCGTCAAAGTTTGGTGACTTCCAAAGTTTAACATCCTCAGAAAGTGCAAATTTACTTTTCTTTTTTTGTTTTGTTTTGCATTTGGCATGTTCCACTCAATTCTACACAGAGAGATATTTTTAATTTAAAAGAACGTAAAAGATACTGAGCGAAAAAAAAAAAGGATAAAAATTGCACAACGAGCAGAAGAATGCCATTTTCTTAGGTCTCATTATCTTGACAAGCGCCTGATTTCACCACGATGCTTCACATACCATTCAACCCGAGAAAACATAATTGTTATCTAGATCTATGTTGTTGTTTTTTTCAGACACTGTATGCAGCATGGTGGAGACGGCTGACACTTATTTTTCCGGGACGTGGGCTGGGGACATTGAATACCTAAGTGAGTTCTGTTTTAAGTTTGTAATTTTTAGTAAGATTTTTGCTGCGTTTACAGCTATTAATTTAAGTCATAAACGAGCCAAAGATTGCAGGTGTTACTAGAGACTAACATACAAAGAAAAGGCGGAGGAGAGATAAAGACGATATATATATATATATATATATATATATATATATATATATATATATATATATATATATATATATATATATATATATATATATATATATATATATATATATATATATATATATATATATATATATAAAATGTATATATGTTTAATAGTAAAATAATAGGAGGGAAGGAGCAAATCACACCAGAGCGCCCGCAAACCATCCACCTAGTTTCTATGATCAATATCCAAAGAACATTATTTTGTGAGAGGTTGCGAAAATAGGAGAATGCAGTGTTGTGGGATCAGAAGGAATGTTGTGGAAGAAGGAGGAGGACGGGGGCGCCGATAAGGAGAAGGAGAGGAAGAAGAGGGCGAAAAGTAGAGAGAATCAATCAAACGAACAGAAACAAACAAACAAGCAAATAAACAAAGATAGCAAAATGTGGAAGAGCCCATACAAACTAAGAAAAACTTTACTGCATGGAGAGTTTATGATGGTAGCGAGTATACTTTTGGAAAAAAAAATGATAATGATTAAATATAATAACATTATAATACCACTATAATTATATCCCTCTTATCCGGTTCAACATGTTTTTACAACACAAAATGGGGTAGGCCCTCAATGTTAACACTCACACTAAAATCATGTAAGTAACATGTACTGGTTTTTTTTCTCCAAAATCAGCGGTCTCATCCCAAGCCGAGTGCCTGTCCACCTGCACAACGCCCGCTAACGTCACTCTAGGGGAAGTCCCCTGTTGGGCCGTCGAGTTCAGGATACCGCAGGTAGGAAACACTAACAATTACTAAATTTGCAACTGTAGGATTTAAAACATTACTACTATTATCATTATTATCATTGTCACCATCATTATTTGATTATTACTATTATTATCATTATCATTATTTTATTATTTTATTATTATGCTTTCTAATTATTATCATTATTATCATTATTATTATTATTATTATTATTATTATTATTATCATCATTATGTCTTCTTCTTCTTCTTCTTCTTCTTCTTCTTCTTCTTCTTCTTCTTCTTCTTCTTCTTCTTCTTCTTCTTCTTCTTCTTCTTCTTCTTCTTCTTCTTATTATCATTATTATTACACAGAAACAGTGCGTGGTGTTGCGCATGCTCCAGAAGCCAGACACGCTCCCAGAGACGGCAACCGGCACAGACCGGTCGACGTTTGTGAAGATCTGCAAAACCGGTGAGTAGTACATGTACCGTATTGTCCCCGTCGTTTTATGCAAGAAAAATTCTGAAAATATGCAAACTGAGCCCCCAAAAATGTGAAATTATGCGAATCTGTTAATTTTAACAAAGAATGATAAAGGAAAATAATCAGGAATTATGCCCCCCCCCCCCCCAAAAAAAAAAAAAGAAAAAAAAGATCCAATTTTGCTAAGTTATGCGGGGTGCATAAAACCACGGGGACAGACCGTACTACGCCAGCTCCAAGGGTGGCTGGTTGGCGTGTTTGCTAATTTGCTCCTTTTTCCCCCTTCGATCAAATATCAATCTTCCTTTTATCTCGTACAGCATTCCAGCAGAAAAATGTACATGACGTACTTGATGGTGTACTGCACTGCACTACCGGGTTATGATCTCAATTTGCGCTGATTCGGATTCTGCGCGTCCGTGAAACAGTGACACTGCATTAAACTATCTGCCATTCATCTCAGACTTATTTTAAACAAAAAATGTTAATGCTTTGCGTCTGAAAGGAACCTGTTCATTTCCTGAACACACAGAGAGGTTCACTTAGTAGTGCTGCTCTATTCTATGTGGGATGATAAACGCAGTTCTCCAACACACGTTTTATTATTACATCCGAACTTGTTTAAGACGGCCACTCATTATCGAGGAGAAAAGTGGTTCTCTTAGACAAGTGGTCGTACACAGAGTCAATATAATGTAAAAAAAACCCCAAAACAACCACAACAAAAACAAACAAACAAACAAACAAACAAACAGAAGGGGGTGGGGGTGGGAAGAGCCTGTTTGCACAGGCAATTGTCTTTTAGAGAAGGTCTGTACAAAAATAATTTTCTAATCATGTCCAGTGCTACATTTGATGAGTTATATTTAAAAATATACACTTTTATTGATCCCAGAAGAGCAATTTGGTGTACAATGGCAAACATACATTAATATATATATATATATATATATATATATATATATATATATATATATATATATATATATATATATATATATATATATATATACATACATAAATACATAATTATGAATACATGACATACACACACAAATACATGCACAGATGCATACATAAATACCAGTACAGAACAATCAACCATGCTATTGCCGGACTATGGACAAGTTACACCAGTCTCCATGATGTCGAAGTTAGGCGCTTCGCACTTGATCGAACCCAGAACACGTGAGTTCGACTCCCATATGACGTGCAGGGGACATTTTTTAAAAATCGAGTAGACTATTTCCGTCTTTTTGCTGGCACGTTGCATCCCTGACCAACCCGGGTTGACCCTGACAGGAAGGGTCGAGGCAAGGTGCTACTACGGGATCTAAATGGTATTGATTAGGGCGTAAAACACACCGGCACAACTACTTTTTATTTACTGGACAGGCTGCACATAGCATAGCCGTTTTCTCTACCGGTACACACATCTTAGTCTTAGGGCATGTATATATAGTACCAGCTGATAGATCATCTGGCAGTACCCATCAAAAGAGAGTTTCTCCTTTTCTTTAAAAAAACAAACCCACATCAGTACATAAAGAGACGAGTAAAAAACAAACATGTATCGAGTGAAAGTTTCATTGACAAAGTCGCAGAAAAACAACAACACAAGAATTTCTCAGTATAAATGAACGTGTCGAAAGACAATACATGTAATTTACTCCTAAATTCAAACAGTGGGCCTGTTGAGAAGAACAGCAATGTTTCACAATGTAGAAAAGGAGATTGTGAACGTTGCCCATTTGATGACATTCACATCTAATATTTGAACTTCATTTCTCATAGTCTTAAACTTTAGATTTATTAGTGACTGCCCCGTTACCTCAATAGGTACATTATGTATCTCTATCACGCTAAACTGCGAACGGACAGCCCTGGTTCGAACACAACTCGGGTCGCTTTGAACAGCTTACATTACAATGCTCTCAACCCATTTGGCCTGATCCTAGCGGAGACGAACATTAAATTCGGAGGCTCCCGCCTCTTAAATAAGCAAATCGTATTGATTAAGAGCGTTAAACTCACAAGTTACAAGAAGATCACGTTTGAATACATAGGAAACTGTAAAGACTGGATCTCTATACGTTGCTTGTACCATTGAACACGTGTGCAGTTCGTTTTGTTTCAGTGAGTATTTTTCGGCACTTGCATCACAATAAGGTCATAAAAGTACCGAGGAATAGAGGTGTCACAAGAGAGTACAGTAGTCTCCGCCTAAACGCACGGTGCTCGGGAGGGTTCTTCAGCGTGTGTTTATACGGAGCGTGTGTTTACATGAACCTTTGCAAAGGGAGGAAGGGACGCAGTCATTTCATTGCCTTGGTATTCTAGTGACCTCCCTTTGGGGTGAGGGTCAATTTTTGCCGATAATGTGACGACACGTGACTGTTTTGTGAAGGATTCCCCGACTGCGGTTATGACTACAAAGGCGTTGAATGGAGGGGTGGGGGGGGGGGGGGGGGGGTTTAGAAAGACAGCCTCAATGTAAATTAATGTAAGGAATATGCACTATAAAACGTCGGGAACAACTAAGAGGAAACTGTTGGAGATAATCATATATCTAGTCATAGAGATGACGGCGCGGCCACGCGGCTTTCCAAGCGACCACCCCCTGACCGTAAATTCACGGACGACATCAGAATCATAGATCTCTACATTCAGAGAAGCATTTCTCTTGTGATTCGTTGAACAAGTACGTTATAAGAATACATATAAGGTCTTCGAGCGCGACTGATTAGGCTTACTTGGCTAATCTTAAACCCCATTGAGGCCTATCTAGTGTTTTATTGCATTCACGCGTGTTGCGCATCAGGCCTAGGTTTAACTAAAAATTACACGCAGTCACCCAAACACCAGTCAGAAACCTTCTCTCAAAGATGCATTCCCAGTGACCAATCAAAAAACAGTTCAGTCCCCCAACCGCCCCCCCCCCTCCCCGACCAGCCCTAGACCGAGAACCAGACCTATGTCTCTTTGGAACGTTGTCCATCACTCTCTTTGACTTTGTTCCGCGTGAGGGGCACTCTCACCCGGTTTTCTTGGCTTGTCTATGCAAGCTGTGCAGGTTGTAGTGAAATTTTCCCCTTGTCAAACTTAACCTGTCGGCGTGTTTCGCTGACGGAGAGTGCGTTTAGAGAGAGTGACCGTGCGTTTGTGCGTCTAAATTATATAGTAAAAACCCCGTCAGATGATGAAAGCGTGCGTTTGAGCGGAGCGTGCTTTTGTATGGCGTGCATTTAGGCGGAGACTACTGTAACAAATATAAAAAAGAAGGAAGAGAGATAACGACGTTAGTAGTAGTAGTTTGATAGGAAATTACGACGGAGCAAACCACATCAGAGCACCCGGAAACCATCCACGAACAATACGCTCGCTACAATATTCTACCCAAGTGAACAATTATATTATTTGTAAGCTCTTTATATATAGTGTACTAAGACCTCCCCTATAAAACACAACTCCCCAATTTGTAACCGTTTCACAGCATGATATCGATACCGTGCATGATAATATTTCCACCTGTATGCTGGTGATATCCTTCTGCTATCTTGGGAGTATAATTGGCAGAGAGGGAGGAACAGGCGCTGAAATAAAGTACCGCATTGGAAAGGCACAGGATGCATTATTTCTTTGAGCAGGATTTGGAGGACCAGGGACATCTCATTACGAACAAAGCTTAGAATTTTCAACTCAAATGTGAAGTCAGTCTTGTTGTATGGATGTGAGGCGTGGAACGCATCCCATATGTGCATAAAGAGGATCCAGGTTTTCTTGAACAAGTGTCTGAGGAGGCTGCTGAGGATCAAATGGACAGACAGGATCACCAACGAGGATGTATTAAGAAGAACCAGACAGAGCCCGGTCAGAGATGAGGTGGGAAGAAGACGTTGGCGATGGATTGGGACACACTCTCAGGAAGTCAAGCAGCTGCATAACAAGAAAAGTGTTAGATTGGAACCCACAGGGTAAAAGATCAAGGGGAAGACCTCGTGGAACCTGGAGAAGAGTCACGGAAATGGATGTACAGAAAAGTGGGAAGACGTGGAGTGACATCAAGCGACTAGCCCAGGATAGGGAAAGGTGGAGAGTATTTGTTCATGGCCTATATCCTGACCCAGGGTGAGAAAGGCAATGACGATGATGATGCTGGTGATATAATATGCAAATCTGCATCCCACTCTCTGAAACCAATAACATGCTAGGGGAGCGTGAGCAATGTTTGACAGCCGTCAAGAAATGGACGACAAGGTATAATTTGAAATTAGATGAAGGCAAAGATAGAGGTCATGCTAACCTCCTCAAAGAAATAAAAAAACAAACAAACAAACAAACAAACAAACAAACAAACAAACAAACCCAAACAAACAAAAAATGAACAAAACAAATGATGCAAAAGCACTCTCCATTTCGAAAACAAAGAGATTTCTCTTTCCAGCATGTAACACACAGAAAACATCTTGGTTTTTTGTTTTGATTGCCACTTTATCATGGCAGACCACATAAAAAAAGCTTTGCCAGTCTAGTTATTTGCATGCATGAGAAATTATAAAGGAAAATACGGAACGTCAACCATAATGATGCCACCCACAAGCTCGTTCATTCATTTGATAACAGTCGTCTACATGCATAGGCCTACTATATTATTTTATATTACAGCAATGCACGTTGGACAGATGCAGTAGCTTATCCAATTAACAGAATACAAAAATAGAAAGATAAATTTCATAACAAAGCAGCCAGTCTGGTGGTGAGGAAATGTAGGCCTCAGTAGCTGAATAAGCCCCCTCCCCCCAAAAAACCCCACAATAAACAAACAAACAAAAAACAAAAAAACCCCAACAAACAAACAAAAAACAAAATACAAACAACAACAACAACAACAACAACAACAACAACAACAACAACAACAACAACAACAACAACAAATAATAATAACAACAAAACCCAACAACAACAACAACAACAAAAAAAACCAATAAAATTCTAAGCGGTTTCACTGGTTGCAGAAGACAAGCAAATGAATTTGAAGAACGTACATTAATGTTACAGTATCTTAATGATAAAGCATGTATAACTTAGTGCCATTTTATTTTCAAAACCTTTTATAATTTTGTACTAGTTAGCCTTATCATGTCTTTTGACCCTCTGGTTTCATTTTATAAATTTTTTGAGGAAAGACCTTTTTCTGTTGCTGCTCCAAAACTACGGACTAAATTCTGACGACTTGGTTTTCAAGTATTGAGGCGACTATACTGTACGGTACCGGTATACGTAATGGAATTTTTATAATAATATTGCTTAAGTTTGATTTTATATTTATATTCTAATATCTATCTAAAACAGGCCTATTAAAATGTCAACTGTGTCGGTAGATTTAATTCAGTGAGAGCGTCATCACGCACATTTAGTGGATTTCAGGAGCAATGCAAACTAAATACATGCATTGTGTATTAGAGCCTGTGCCAGAACCACAGCATTTTACATTATATACATGATGCAGTATTGTTTTTTATAAAACATATCAGTTTGTGACATATGTGTAGTTGATATGCTGCAGTAGCAGCACAAGAAAAAGATTTTGGTTTTTATTATGATATATCTTTAAAATGGTAAAATAAAGTGGTTTTAATGTTATTTGGCCTATTTCAATATGTCACATGACAACAGCATTGCAATTTCTTCAAAACACACTTTTTTGTATTTGAGTTTCCAAAATTGTACTTGTACTGAGGTTAAGTCTAAAGCCATCGTATTTCAGGTATGCACGTAAATATTTCATCAGGTTTCACAATTTTCATCAATTGCAATCTCTAAAAATGTCGTACGTGAATAACTGTTGTCATCATACAGAATTGTACATTGTGACAAGATCTAGACAAACTTTGAGCAATAAAATCCAATTACTACAGCTGAAATTCTACAAGGGGTTTCCTCTTGAAGACAAAGGAAGAAACATTTGTACGATGGGGTCATTACCGGAAAGGTACTTTACGTACATTAACGAAGCCCAAAGTTGTCATCATCGTGTTATGAACATAATATATTATAT